TAATAAATTCTTACAACTTAACCTTCATGTGTTGCTATGCCGCTAACTTACGACTCACTTACCTAGCATCCAATAAAGGAGATTATCGTTGCCTATATTCAATTGTTCTTGTTTATATTGTTTGCTTTTCCAGTTTGAGGCTAATGATAGTAAAAAGTCCGAGCTATATCACACGTGTTTCTTTACACAAATTTTCCTTCATAAATTATTTAATGTCCGATATCCATGGCGGAAAAAATTAACCATGTCCTCTACCTTTTCTTACATTTTTTATTTTGTCCTTTGTTTTTTTTTTCCTTTCCTTTTTTTGGCTCGAAAATGTTACCTGGTACGTGACCTGCAGTAACTGGTCGAATTTTCTTTCCTACACTTTCATTGGGTTTTCAATACATACCCGGTCAGTGCTGGATGAAAGCTGCAACTGTCTAACTTTCTGATTAAGCGTTCCAAATTTTACCAATGTAAGGGACCACTGCTCAGGTACCAAGTGTGGACATCCCCCTAAGGTCTACACTTGGTACTCGGTCCTGCGTAACGGCACAAAACAGTGTTGTGTTCACACCTTGAGTACCCGATGTGTGTACATAGTTATTCCATCTCTAGCCTGTTTTAGGCTCCGAAATAGTCGGGTCAGCGAAATTGAGAAAGCGCGAACACGAAAATAAAACGGGAGGAAACTGGGGAGAGAAAGGGCGGCGGAGCGCTCTCTCTATCACTTCCTTTTTCCCGCCACCGCTCGATCCCTTTTCCCAGACCACGCGCTCATGTTTTCGCGTGCCTTTTACTGTCGAGTCATCCGTGCTATCCGGGAGCCTGGATCGAGATACTCCATTCCGCCCTGTCAGACTCCATTTTGAAACATGAGCTTGGCAACGAGTACAAAGCATTGAACTGCCCAGATCTAAAAAACAAAAAAAAACGGTGTGCACACAGGGACCCCATGCCCACTTTTGTGCCCGAGCACAAGGTTTCGACCTTTCATTTGGGCACCGGCCGGCATTGCGCCTGAATTCTATAGCGTGGTACTTGAAAAAAGGTTGTGTTCAACAAGTAGCTTACTCGAGCAACATGCCCGGGTACCACTACAGTGTTAACGCTGCATAAGCTCCACTGCTCCCGATTTGATTTCTCTTGCTCGTCGTTGCAAAATACAAGTGTTTGTAGATCACTTTACAATCCGTTACTCCTCTCTTTCAAGGGCGCTTTTCCTCACCGCTTGATCGAAGGAGACTCGAGCGGTGACTCTGATTTTTTCAAAGTCTCTAGCCACCGCGTTCTTCAACTACCATGTCTGATATTTGGCTTCTCCCAGTGCTTCTGAGCAGAGTATTTATATCTAAAAGAACCTCGTTGGTGCTATATGTACCACATGTCCTACACGCAAAGTAGCCTGCATTTTTTTCTGACTTATGAGAGTGGAAGTTACTTTGTTACTTTGTCTCCTCAACTGATATCCAGTTCTCTTCTAAAAAGATAACTATCGAGAAATACGTTCCACAGAAAGATGTTTTGTACTTAAAGTGGCAGGCTGTCAGACTATACTTCTGTCTTTCTTGCTGACTACTTATTGAACTATATTTTATACACTCACGCTTGTTGAAAACGCTTTAGCTTAAAGAAATTATCTAATTTCTATAGGTACAGAGTAAAACCATCAACGCCGTACAGCAGTGTCTATTATTGTTATTGTTGTTGTTGTTGATATTATAATAATAATAATAATAATAATAATAATAATAATGATAATAATAATAATGGATAATATATTCACAATTTTTAAAAATGTTTAAAATAATAATAATAATAATAATAATAATGATAATAATAATAATAATAATAATAATTGTTGTTATTATTATTATTATTATTATTATTATTATTATTATAAGTTATTCGTACGTAGAGCTCGTGAATCATTAGTCCAAAACTACTGCGAGGGAGCCAAACGCAAGAAAAAGCGAAAAAAGTTTGTGGGAGGGGCAGATGAGAGGAGACAAAGGGAAGAGTTTGAGCGTGTCTTTTCGAGAAAAGTTACAGCAGCCTCGGAAGTCCGAGTCAAAGGTGCGGAATTCCTGCGTCTTTGACTGTATTTTATGCCTTGAAGATATCTGAAACTTTCGTCTAAAAGAAAAAGAAAATAGATAAATTCGTTTTATCAAACGTTTTCTATGTAAAAGACTGAATCACTGACAGTTTTCAAGATGCAAATTTGATCCTCTCGTAACAACCAGCTACAAACTGTACTCAGTTCTAACTTTTTCCTTCTAGAATGTGATTACATCGACAATAAGTTTATTTCTAAAGTATATTCAGGCTCCTGCAACAATACATACAGTAGCTGGAAGCCCATGCAAAATAACTAGAAAGCTAAACTAAACTTGCAAAAGAAATGTTGGAAGTTGTTGGCTGAAAAGTTTGACCGGTTTGAAACTTTACGCAACAACACGCAACAACATCCAACAACATGCATCAGGGTGTGCAAACGGACGCAACATGTAACATCCAACAAAGATGGGAGTTGTTGGCCAACAATGTTGCGTCCGCTTGCACAGGGCTTTAGCGCTCAGAATAGCCCACGCTCGATGTATTAACATGATTAACATGTACTAACATGATTCCGAGACTTTAGGGACAAAGGTGCAAATTTTTCACGATTCCATTGAGACTTAAGCGCAAAGAAATCCAAACCAAATATAGAAATATAACCAGAAAGCCTCGGAGTCATGTTAGGCTGCGTGCAAATGGACGCAACATTGTTGACCAACAACTCCCAGCATTGTTGGATGTTACATGTTGCGTCCGTTTGCACATCCTGTTGCATGTTGTTGGATGTTGTTGCGTATTGTTGCGCAAAGTTTGAAACCGGTCAAACTTTTCAGCCAACAACTCCCAACATTTCTTTTGTTCCGTGATCGCCGAAGCGTAGCGCAACAATGCTGGATCCGTTTTCACAGCTCTTCCAACATTGTTGGGGCCACGCACGCTCATTACGCATGGTTTACAAAGAGCTTATGGGCTGTATCCTTCCCACGATGCACTGCAGGTCCCAACATTGTTGGGAGTTATTGTATCCGTTTGCACACCACTGCCAACACGCACGCAACAACTCCCAACATTGTTTGTTGCGTCCGTTTGCAGGCAGCCTTAGGGGCAAAAGTGCAAATTTTTCACGACTCCATTGTCTTAAAATTCCCAGAAGAGACTTGAGCACAAAGAAATCCAAACCAAATATAGAAATATGACCAGAAAGCCTCGGAGTCATGTTAGAATTTTTTATATATCAAACGTGGGGTATTCATGCGCTGATTTATCCCAAGTCTTTGGACGCGAGCTCCCCGTTGACAACTCTTTTGTACTGAAACTCTCTATTATCGCAAAACATGAAACTATAGGTCTATCTACGGACCCCCCTTGGATTGGTTACATTTTTAGCTTTTTTATCGCTAACGGCGAATTTCTTTTCTTTTAGTACGGTCAACAGATACAGTCTTAAAAAAAACGTCTGTCTAACAGATAATAGGAAATCATTTCATGTCCGGTCATAAATGAGGAATTCATTCATGCTTCAAATAAAGGCATATAACTGGGTAGCGTAATTATTTATTCTTGAATTTAAACGTCCTGCCGCGCTCAATCTCAAAATTTTTTATTAAAATCCGGCCTTCTGCTGTTTTGCTCTTTTCACTCACTTTATAAACATTTTGTAAGAAATTCCTTCGGACAAAAGTTTTAATAACCTTGATCATTAAATGTAACACTCTCATGCACCGCGGTGGTTGTTTTCACGACGCATATAGTATCTGGTGAGAACAATTTCAATGGTTTTCGATCTCTAAAACTTACTTTCGTTTTAGGCGTAATTTATCGCGGCTTATACCTGGCTCGGCCAAGCCTAAGTATGCCTTCAGCTTTTAGCGTGAAGTTCACTTGTTCAAGGCCAATTTCAACTGAAAACCTAGGTTTTTTGTCATGTAATTGACTAAAAGTAAATTGGATAAACCACTGAAAAATAGAGCGATTTTACTTAGTCCATGAAATATATCTGTAGTAGAATACTAAGCACTATCACTAATTCCATTGTGCTCTTTTGTTTCCCTGTTGCTATTTTGCACTTTCTAGTTGTTATTATCCGTTTCACGGATCAAGTAAAATCACTCTATCCTTTCTTGTTGCCTAAAAATTAGTGGTTTTCGCCGCTTTCTCCGTAATTAACGTGAATAGGAAAGTACGTAAGAGTTTTTACAACGTTATTAGCTTTCGTTGTCAGTAAAGGAACACGCTTAGCTAGCTCTTAGCTGATTGGCCAGTCTTGTTGTTCCCCCTGTGTCAACGACAATTACTTTAAATAATGGATCTATTCGTTTCTAATGAATTCCTTTATTAACCAAATCACACAATTTACAAAGCATAAGTCATTAGCCTTTGCTAAGCCGACGTATTTGTACGCTTTGAAGGACAGCCTGTCGCCGTTGAGCATCTTAAATCTCAAATGCAAGCTTCTTCCGACACTTTTGTTGCATTCTTGTGACACCTACAAGGCATGAAACGTTCCCTTTCTCTCTTGCGACTTTGAACAAGGTTTGGCTTAAAACTGTCGATGAAACAGTGTTTCGCGTACTGTAAACGATGTAATCGAAATAGAGTGCTTGGTCAAACAATTCAACGAAAGCTCTTTTGTTCAAACTGAGGACAGTTTGGAGCTTAAACAAAAGTAAACTTTGGGCCTGCATTTTACAGTTTCCGTGTAAATACCGCGAATCACACGTCATTAAAAAGTCAGTGAACTACTTTAGGAGTCTCGGCTGTTGGAACATTTGCATGCGTTTTGGACCACGAGAAATATATCATTAGCTGGAGAATTTTTCATCATCTGAAAGAGGAAAAAGCGATAGAAGACAGATATCAACTTTGAAGGGCTCAGACCTCTGACGCATTGCTTTCCTTCATAAAGTCTTTGACAAACTGCTCAGACTACTAGGAGATATTGATTTATAGATAGGATGGTATCGACAAAATTAGAGGTACCCACACAAAACATAAACACTCATCTTGTTGACGCATACGTTGCTTTGCTACTACTCATAGTTTTTCTCTCGTTGGTGGGTAATATCGTCGTCCTGACGGCCTTATACACCCAGCAGGCAAACCTAAGAAACAGCATGGACGTTTTCATCACTAACATAGCTGTGTCGGACATTATTTCGTCATTTTCTGCGACATTTACTCTGAACAATGCTAAGTTACAGTGGAGCAGCGGAGCGGGAACTTGTAAAATGTGCTATTATCTTCTCTTCGTGTCGTATGCAGTTGTCATTTTAACGCTTTGCTTCGCAAGCGTGGATCGTTTTTTTGGAATTTGCCTTCCAACCAAGCGCAGGCAAGTTTTTCTCCTCAAGAAACAAGTGATTTCCATCTGTTTGATATGGATTTTATCGTGTGTATTGTTAGCACCATATATTTACGCTTACGATGTTAAAGAATTCAAACTTCCCAAAGAGAACACAAAAGAACTATGTACGCAAACTTGGTCTTCTGACAGCGAGCAAATATACTTTACTTTAGTTATGTTCTGTCTGTTATTTCTGTCACCCATCGCATTGTTTGTCTTTGTTTTCTTCAAAGTATTCCAAAAATTACACGAACCAAGAAGTACAGCTTCCGGAGGCAACGCTATTCTTCACAAAAAGAGAAAAAGAATGACGTTAATGCTTTTATTGATGGTTACTTTGCACTATATTTGTTGGAGTCCCTCCATTATCGCTAACTTAGCTCACATTTTTGGAACTGAGACAACTCCTAGTTATTTTAACCTGTGGCTGGTTTTTGAGTTGCTGCACTTTCTGCGTAGTCTGATTTATCCATCGATTTACTTCACTATGTACCTAAATGTTCGCGAAAGCCTAAAAGCACTTATTTCTTTCAAGTCGTCATCGAGATCAAATCCCGTTAACAGCACAGCTGCTACTCAAGCTAAGGATCTTTCCCTGCCGTCTTCTGTGCCGGTGTCTTCAGCGGCATCTGATCGTTCAGCGTCCTATGTCCCAGATGATGACATGTACACGAGTATGTAAACAAAATCTGAACTCTGGAAACCATGGCGACTGTTTTTACTCATATATCTCTTTATATTTATACAGTGTATATAACCACTTGCCTTTTTGTTATCTCTATAAATACTTGATGTGCACTTTGGGAAATAAAGTTTTTGTTGACAGTATTGTTCAGTGCTGTGTTTTGTTTGACCTGACTGACATGTTGAAGAAAACGCGGGTCTCAACTTCAGTCAAATGTGACAAGTGCAAAATTCAAATGAAACGAAAGTTAAACCGCTTGAGCTAAAACCCAGCCTCGGTCCCAGTCGCCCTCGACGATCTCGGATGTGACGTCACCTGTTAAGCTTGTCGGGAAAATTCGCGCTAGGTTCCAAGCCTCCTCCAGTAACTCGGATAGCGCGAACTGGCTTGGGTACGAGGCTGAGCTAAGCCTATTTCGGCATTGTAAATGAGACACAGATTCACACTATGTTCATACTGTAACGGATAGCTTTTGCGCCGGCACGAAAACCATACCTGATGAGGCTTTTGTTCACATATATAAAAAACGGTGATTTCGACACAATTTCTGTAACGGAGCGTAGCTTAGCCTGCGTTGGCTTGCAGCCGGCCCACGCTTTATCTAGAGTGTCTACGACGCATGCTAAGTGATGCTGCGCCGCGCCGATCTCTAAAGCAGAGAGTCAATTTAGATCAGGTGTTCGTGTCGGCATGGTATTGTATGAACTTGGCTTCAGTCTTGTTGGACCTCTCTTTTAAGGGTCCATTTTCCCATTATTCCTCGCACCTACTTCGTTCCTAGAGTCCGATCCGCGGGAAGAGTAGGAGAGGACCCTGGGAACGAAGTTGTCCTCGCCCGTGCACCTCTAAAACGACACAGAGATGGGTGGGTAGAGCGTGGGCATTTTCAAAAGTCGTTGGAGAACTTGATTCTGTTTTCAGACCCTGCTCATGAACGAAGCAGAATGATTCACTACCTTCAGACTTGTGATGGATAACGCGGTTTTAGAGGACGTCAGTAATATTACAAACAGGAAGATCTGATGTAAACAGTGACAGAAACGACCTTGTTGTTAAGGCAAAATCGTAAATGAAATCTCGATTTAAGAAAAAAACAAGGGTTAATTCAAACGCTTTTTTCTGAACTGAGACACCCCACAACGCACCCACAGCGCATGGAACTACTTTTGACCAGTCGGTTCTTGGTTATTCGTCATGTCGCTAAATTAGACTTCAATCCACCTCGAAGACCTATGAACGTCTGATTTAACCCCCAGCTTCTGCTAAATATTAAACTAAATACAAACCTATCCCTAAAGTTCATAACAGACGTAATAATTTAAAACCCCCACTCCTCCCCAGATTTGTAACAGAACTAACAGCGGACGTGCCATGCGGTTTTCATTCCTAAGAGAGCGTCGATAAAGTTTCCACGCAGAGAACGTTTTGGTATTTTAAATATTTTTAAGGAAATAAGGACGAATGTGTATACACAGTGAAGTTCTAGATATTACTTTAGTGGCAGGTTTTAATATCCTCAATTATGACAAAAGTCATTTGATAAAAAGTCTATTTGTGATTCGTTGCTTCTTTAACTTGAATTGCAGTCAGTATCTTTTATGGTGAATATTATCTCTCGGTATAATTGTAGCACGCTTCTGCTCTTAATATTCAATTTCAAACTACTTGAGTTCTTCCTGTTACTTGATGTTTGACTAGCCTACCTAGATGGTTTATTAGCTTCTTAACTAATGAGACATTAGTCCAACGATTAATGGCATATTAAACTCCAGGGGCACCCAACGAGAATATAGTTCAAACGTAGCATTGTTAAACGTATTTTAGTATTTTAACAGTAGATATAGGCATATTCCTATCCCCTAAAAATTTTTCAACTGTTCGGATTTCCTAGCTGAAAGTCTGGTGATCCAAAAATTATAAGGATCAAAACTTACCTTTTCGAAAATTTCAGCCAGAAAAAAGGCTCCCGAAAATTCTGGGTGACCTTTTTGGGGTAAAAATCCGTTTTTAGATGTTCGAAAATCCCAGGAGAGGCAAGCAAGCAAGAAATTTTACAACAAATTAATGTTCCGAAAATTCTAGATCTCAAATCGTCTTCCGAACAGATATTTTCCGAAAGTATTCGTTGGGTGCCCCTGAAACTAGCTCAGAGCGTTATACGTTACACTTCTGGCACCGGTTGTTCAAACGTTTGCTATCCACCAGATAAATCACTATCCAGTGACTATCCAGCTCAGTGATCAGTATTAGAGAAACTAACTGCGTTATCCACTGAATGACGCAAGACTTCTCTACCCGGTTAAGAGCGCTGTTCACGATTTAGACAACAAGGGCCCGAGGTTGATTGAAGTTATCTATGCCTCTAAACAAAGTCTACAGTTGTCGCAGCAGTATATTTGAGTATATTAGTGGCCACCTCCTAGACACCGAAACTAAGTGAGTTGGCCTCTATCGCGCTTTAGTCATTTTTCCTTCACTACTTTCTTCGGTCTTCTTCAGTCAGACTCTGTAATTCGGCACTCCAGAAGTGCGCGCTTTTCAGAGATGTGTTTAGAGGTTGTCGAGTTAAAAAAAAATATCTTATGGTTCCGCCTAAAAGAGTTGTGCCATAGAATAATTCAATGGCTTTCTTTGTCATAAAAACGTTTATTCGCCTTACACCCGTTACAAATAACCTCTGTGCGCCACATTTTGCAACGCCGCTAATTCTACATTTTGCTGTGTTGGAATGTAAGCTCACTTACCAAAGCCTCAGCTGAAATCCACTTACTCTCCTGCATCCAGCAATATACTATGTTTTTAATGCTATTTTCGACACTTCCTAAGCCTCGACAAAAATAAGTTAAGAGTGGCGCAAGGTGCTGAAGCGAAGACGCTCAAATCGTTTTTATTGGTAACTATTCATGTTTAATAAATGAGATTCAGGAATTCAATAAAAATGCAATATGTATAATATCACTATATTTCCGGTTGACAAAATATCACCTCTTCTCCTAAAGAGCGCATCGATCAAAAAGCGGGCAGGGATATCAGCCGAGTTACGACGATAAGAATGAAACACTGTTTAAACCTTCCAACTCGCGGAGAATAGAATCTGTTCATCTTTTAACATATGATTACTTTATTCGTTTCCTTTCAAGCCAAAGGTATCCTCAGTGGAAGTCATCATAATGCAAAATTTATAGCAAACATTATTACAATCAACTAAATTTGTCTTTTCAAGATCGAAAGGGGGTTACAAATGTCGGAAAAAACTCGGACAAAGCCTCGCCTAAAAATTCGACCATCCTGGCGAAGGAATTCATCAGATCCACCCACTGAAGAGAGCAGCGAAGGGGATGAATCTGCTGGCTTCGATTTACTCAAGGTTCCAAAGGTTAGTGGCGGACGAGACCGGCAGTTTTGTAAAATTGTCACTACATCTGGGTTTTAAGATGACTTATTAATCAGTCAACTTGTGCTGCTGTTGGATACGTTCTACAATAGTGCTACCATCAATGTCTTTGAAATGATGGAGTTACAGAGCCGCATTATACAGTGCAGCAGTGACTTAGTTAGAATTAAGACTTATTAATTAGCATAGCAAGCTAACTTCATACACATATGAGTGGGTAAGCCAATATTAACAATGTGTCTTTTCCCTCACGGGAAATATCTTTCCATAAACCTCCACGCCGAAACGAAGAAATGGTTAACGGAAGTTGTTGAACTTTCCAGTAGAGCCCTTTTCTGTGCGAAAAGAGCTCTTTCTGAAACTCAGTGTAACTTTAGACAGATTGTTCGATTCTAATTAATTGGTCGATTAACATTGAGTCAATCGCTTGAATGCTTAACCCCGCGCTACGATCAAATGACGACCTCAATCCACATTTATGATACGGACTATAAATACCATACCACAAGACTGACGAAGGATTCTTGAGAATGGTTATCAATACTTCCAGGTAGCTTGGCGAAGATAATAAGTTCCTGTGTTTTGTAACTGTCAGGGCTAAGGCCACTCACTAAATGTACACCATAACAACTTAATGCAAATCTGAACTTTAAATTTTAAACATTCGTCTATGAGTACAAAACTGAATCTGTCATTTCTTCGTGGCACTCTAGAAAGCAAACCTTTAAAGTCGACGAGGTAATTCGTCCCAGCTTCCTCGTTTTCGTGACTCGTAAGGACTAGAAAATTAACACGGTCATTTTAGTTCAATCAAATACACACTACGGCGCCGTGGTGTAAAAGCAAATAAACGAATGTATTTATCCATGCGTGTACATGATATATATTATTTAAAAGGCTCATTGCTACTGAGCAAATAAGAAGCTGGTTATATGTAATGTGTAAGACATTTCAGACAAACCTGATATTTCGTCGCTAATCCTTCGTAAAATCAACAATTCCCATCTAGACATTTTAACCTCTGTCATGAGCTTGAGTGACCGTCTCTGCCCCCCCCCCGTAGGATACGTCATAATTCTTTCCGATTTTTATTTCGTACGAACTGGTTTTAATGACGAAGCAGAGACACTTGGGAAGTTGGGGAACATAAAACCGGTCTCCAGAGAACGAAATTTAACTAACCTCCATCCACAAATTAGACTCAGTTAAACGGAGAACAATACCTGAAAGTACATAGGTCTGGTGAAGGGCCATTGAATTGCCCATGAGAGAAAAAAACATGTCAAGCGTGGAGCCTGGACTCTGATCGTAAGACTTGGCACCGATATTCACTGGCTTGTTCAAAGGGAAATGAAATGGCTTCCTCAGGAATCTTACTTAGGGCCGATTGCGTCCAGACACGGCCTAGTTGATTGTAGTAAGTGTTCTTTAACTACACTAAAAAACCAAATTTTCAAGAGGACCTACCGAGTTGCGACGCTTTGCCAAGTTATTAGTGTTGTAATCACATATAGAGTTGGTGGTTTTGTCATGCAGTTTGGCTGGGTTAACAGGATATTTAAGTATGCTTTATGTTAACACTTTCCTCCAAATAGTTGATAAT